AGAAAGAAAGAAAGAAAGAAAGAAAGAAAGAAAGAAAGAAAGAAAGAGAGAGAGAGAAAGAAAGAAAGAAAGAGAAAGAAAGAATCAGGCATATAGATGTGGTCTTGTATAGGCTGTCATTCACAAAAGTCACTTCTCATACTTTCATCAAGGATTCCTCTTTTATATTCTAAAACAGTGCTTCCCTCAATTTCCATCTCTCTCTTCTTGGAAACAGATTAAGTATTTGCTGGCTGAAGCAATTTCTAGGCCCTTTTTTCTGATTGACTCACGGTGCTTAAACTTTTTAAGAAATGGAGATCATACTTGTTGGTGTCTCTTCCTTTCCTTGGGTTTTCCATGTTTCAACCTCAATTGTTGGTTTAAATGGGTCTTGTTGGAGTTGCTTTAGTGGCATATCAGATCTTCTCAACTTTATTTTTCCTTCTAATTCTATGCTAACTTTGGGGTTTTGCTCAAACATGTCAGTTGTCTAACTCTACTCAGAGAGATGGTCCAGAAATGACTTCCACAATGGCAACCACTTATTTCCTGTCTATTAACTTGTCAATTTCAATGCTTTTTGTTTTCCTTAGCTAGTTTTAATGAACTAGATACCAAGACCCTAATCTTGATATAAATGTGTATAAAACATACATATGAATACTGCTTTCCCTTCAAGGACATTTAAAATAAGCGAGAGATTGAAAGGGAAAGTTTTCATTAAATGACTAAATTCTTTTCTAAAATAAAAGTGTTGATTTGTCTTCAGTGTGGTATGAAAAAGGGAAATCATCATTACCAGCATACCCGTTTATCTGAAAAAAAAAAGTAGAAATTGTTTATGCTTCAAGATTTATGTTGCTCCCAAATTTTCCAAGCAATTGAACTTCCAAATGAGGTATCACCCATACATCACAATCTTTTTGTAAATCTTCATTTAAAAAAAAAAGCTGTAATTTGACATGACCAGTACACCAGTACTTTTGGAAACACAATTAAATCAATTCTGCAACTCCTTTATTTTCTTCTCTAAGAAAGATTTGGGAGTCATCCTTCCATTTAACTGTAAATTTCTCCTGTGTGTTGATTTCCTTTATAGGAAAAAAAACTCAGTGTGACTCAGTTCTGCCATATCATTATATTATATAATAATAATTACCATATTTTCAAAGTATCAGAGATTTAGGGCTGGAAGGGATCATAGGGGTCATCTTGTTCAACCCCCTCATTTTACAAGTGAAGAAAATCAGGATCAGAGAGGTTAAAGTGATTTGACTGTGGTCAAACAGCTCATAAGTGTCAGAAGCAGAATTTGGACACGGATCTTCTTGGCTCTCACTGGTCTTCAGACTGGGGTCCAGTGGACCAGGCTCTCACATGTATAAAACTAATAGTAAAATTTATATTTATAGATGATGTAAGAACTGTTTGATTCTTAGCACTCTGTGATTCTGATTTTTTTTTCTATCTCTCTGCCACTGTCAATGAATGAGCAGAAAGTGGGGACCATGAGGACTTTCTGTGGCCTCCTGCCCTACTCAGTGAAGAAGCCAGAAGAGGCTCAACTCCTCTGAGTCACCTTGTCAAAATAAGGACTGCAGAAATGGCTTCAAAGCTTCTTTTCCTGATGGTGGAACACCAACTGGTCATCAATTTCCCCACACATTCTCCCCAGCATGAGTTTTCACTGGTCCAGATCTTGACCTACCCAACAGGTCTGGGCTCCTCCCTCCCTTTACCCCAGTGCTTGGTCATGCTTGAACCAGAGAAGTACCCTTATAAAAACTCACCCTGCTTTATTGGTTTGGGATTCCTATTTCCACTCAGGAGTCCATCAGACCTGCCTTATGTCCATCGTCCCTGACCACCTCCTTCTTATTGTATTTCTCCTTAATAAAATTTGCTTGGTTCACTTTCTCTCTGCCTGCTCCCATTTTGGGCTGTGTTTTGTCTTGTGGTACACAAATTTTGCATGCTACATACCACGGAAATTTTCTCCATAGAAGCATCAGCTGTTGGCCAGGAGGGATGGGACTAACAGTCTTGGTGGCCACCCCTACCTCTTGAGCTACAATTTAGAGAATGTAAAGTGTAAGGGTGGGGTCAGGAGCTCCATGACCAGATGGTTGGGCCTTCTCCCTTTTCCCTGACTCCGGGGCTGTAACTAAACACCCACCCCAACCACATGCCCCTTGGGTGTTTCCCTTGGCAACATAAGTGGCATTGCCACTGTACTTTGTGCTGCATTTTGGAATCTCAAACCTCACTCAAACTACATTAAGACAAAAACTAAAGAGCATTTTATACTTTGTGTGTGTGGGTAATAGGCCATCAAGGCCAAAGAATTTATCACCAAACGGCCAACCTACTGGCAATGCGCCCCTTCTGTACTTAGCCAAATTGTCCTCAGGGAAAAAGGACACAGTCTCCCTCCAGGACTGTGCTCAACATCTTTCTGGAATAGTAGAATCTGCCAAACCCTATGTTTTATTGGTGTAATCTTAGCTAGCTCAAGGTCCCTACCATGCCACAATGAGGCATCAGAGAAGGACTACAATGGAGGGCAGAATCTAATAAGATGAAATTTAATAGGAATCAGTAAAGTCAATTGCACAATTATAGGAGGGTGGAATGGTGGCTAGATCTCAATGAGTCAGCACTCTGCCACCCGGCAGCTACAAAAAGTGATCTTGGGTTTCATTAATTAAGGTACATTGTCCAGAACAAGAGAGGTGATAATCCTACTTTACCCTGCCCTAGTCAGGTTACATCCAAAGCATTGTGTTCAGTTCTAGGAGTCACATATTAGGCAGGATGCTGACAAGCAGGAAACCTTGCTAGAGGAAGGTCAGTTAAAGGAACTGGGGTTTGTGGGGGCCTCCGGGACAAGGAAGAGGAATAAACATTTATTGATGCCTACTATGTTCCAAGCATGGTGCTAAATTCTTTACAAATATCATCTTATTCGATCTTAACATTTACCCTGGAAAGTAGGCGCTATTATTATCTCCATTACAGTTGAGGAAACTGAGGCATCCAAAGGTTAAGCGACTTGCCCTGGGTCATACTACTAGTAAGTGTCTGAGGCTGGATTTGAACTCAGGATTCTAGTCCCAGCACTTCTCCCTTGGTACCTAATTAGTCTAGAGAAGACATAGGAAGGATATGATAATAAACTTCAAGTATTTAAAAAGCTATCACATGGAATAGGGATTAAGCTTATTTATTTTGCTAATGACCATGGAGTATAACTAGTAGTGATGAGTAGAAGTTGCAGAGATGGTGAAAATTTTTTTTTAATTTTTTGTGATAGCAAAGAATTAGAAACAAAGTGACTGGGGAAAGGCTAAACAAAATGTGATAACATGCATGTAACAGAATATTATCACATTGTAAGAAACCACAAATATGAAAAATTCAAAGAAGCTTGAGAAAAGTCTTATGAACTGATTCAGAATGAAGTAAATAGAGCTAGAAAAACAATATATACAATAACTACAACAGTGTAAATGGAAAGAACAATAAAAAGAAGCCAAATGTCTTGTGATTATAATGACCAAGCCTGGCCCTGAGAAAGAGTAAAGAAAATGTTCTTCCCTCCTTTCTTTGCACAGGTAGAGGATCATGGGTGAGGAATATTGCATATACTATTAAAATCTGTTGATACATTTGATTTTGCTAAGCTGTTCTCCTTCCTATCTTACTTTTAAAAAATCTTTGTTATTAGCACTGGGTTGTTCAATAGGATAGTGATATATTCAGAAATGAATGTAATGTAATGACAAAAATTCATTAATAATTATTTTTAAATGTAGTGTGTATACAGGGAGTAACACCAGCCCTCAATACTATCTAGGCTGTCTCATACTTTTAGGAAGGAATACTCACACTTTTCGGTGGAGGTGGTTCTTCAGAGTGAGTAGTCATGTGGCTACAACTCACTCTCATGTTCCCAGGGGTAACCCTGGTATGGGGGAGGGAAGAGTGGAGAATATACATCTATTACTCATTGTAGTAGCTCTGAGCCCCCACTGGTATCTTTACATTTGTGTAAGTCAATTGCAATGACAGCATTAACTCCTAAACATGAAACATTAAATAAGAAACATTTATTTAAACAAGAATAATCACAATATTTATTAAATAGAAGGCAAAAGTAGGGATAATCAAAATGTAACAGTCCATAAATATGCTGGCCCATATTCTCCTACCAATTCACACAGTGTCCAGAAGGGGAAGAATGGGCTCAACCTTCAGGAACCTAGCAATGATGCCCATGAGTAGGGAAACCCATATGCCTGGAGACAACTCAAAATTACATTTAATTGGATCCTCTTATTCCCTTAGTTAGTTGGTACTTTGGGCATTTGGTAAGTCAAGGAAAACTTGAACAAATGATATGTGAGAGGGGATATCAATGGGGGAAAGTATGTCCCTTCTGGGACTTGGTGACCACTTTAGGATACAAATCAAGTCCTTATATAGTTACAACATCATTCATGAGTCCCAGGCAGAAGGTTGTGGTTGTTGTTTGTCCTTCAATCTTGAAGAAGACCGTGACATCAGGAAGGTGAGGCTATGACTTGAAAGTGAGTTGGATTTAAGTGAGGGAGGGCTGTGCAAAGTAACCAGCCTCACTTTCTCTTCTGAAGCCATTTGGATCCCATGGCAAGAAATAGAACAGGACAACTGAAGATAGCCCCTTAGGCAGAAGGAATAAAAGGAAGAAGAGGTGCTACAAACCTAAATTTGTCTAGTCCTCAATTTTGGCTAGGTGTCCTGATCCAAATCCTGTGTAAAGAGTAACTTCCCAAAGCCTAGGCAAGCTCTGTCAATGTGATGCCACAGTTAAGCCTTAGCAGGATGCCAGGCAGATGATTGGCAGGGAATAAGAGAAGGGTGACCTAAGGAGATTGGTTTGCCAAGAGGCAGCATGGAGGAAATAGTGACCTGCACCAAGCACTTCTAAATACTTCTCTTCCAGCTCTTTACTGAAATCCAGAATGGTCCAGCCTTGGCTGTCCCAGCTGTGCTGCCCTTTTCCATGGTGCTAGGAATGTTGCATCCAAAACCCCCTAATTAACACTGGCCATTTCAAGATTCCTCCAAGCAGTTGACTTTTAATTCATATTCAGTAATTTATGAAAATGGATTTTCAAACATGTGAAAAAAGCACTTGAAAAAAGATGGCCTATTCTCTGACATTTTGTAAAGTCAATGAGCATTTCCACCCCGTGGCAGCTTGCTACATACTCTTGTCCATATTGAGCTTTCCTGGTGAGACCCAGGAGAAAAGAAAAGCTTTCTAAAACATTTTAATTGTAAAAAGAGTTCATTAGAGTAGATCTCATTACAATAAATTATCATTCACTGCTCTAAATCCTAACAAAACGGACACTGCTATCATTATAGTCTGTGGATGTTTGCAGGCGGACCCTGTAATAAGCTGATAATAGATGACAAAGCCTGGCAATTTGTCCTCAGCCAAACCAGTTATTTCTCCCAAGGGGTAAATATCCCACCATTTGAAGGCTACAAAATTAAACTAACAACTCAGGTATAAAAAGTACAAATTCTGACTAGGAAACAGACGTTATTTCCTCCTATCCACAATATTCCATTCCAGTTTTAGTGAGCTCCAAAAAGCCCTTTCTCCCACCGGACACCAATTCCAAGTTAAGCTTTCCCTATTAGAACTATGACAGATTGCAGAGAGACACAATGGGATGATTGAAGACTTGTACTAATCACACCAATTGATATAAATTACTATGTCAGCTGTACCATGCAGAAGTCTGTAGGATTTACACCTCATTAGCTCAGCAGTGCTAAATGAATCAACAGAGTTCAGTGGTACCATTTTTAATTAATTCCTGTAACAAGGCAAAAAAAAAAATTGCAAATGGTAACGTAAAAGTGGCATCAAAACTTTCAGTGAACCAAAAAAGCAGTTGTAGGAAGGGGAAATAGAGATAATTAAATATTTTTTTCTGATTTGAATCAACACATTATACCTCTGTCAAACCTTCAGTGAGAGAATTATTCCAGGCAGGCGATTTAGCATGTGGATGGGCAAAAGCCAAGGAAACCTGAGACCTAATGAGCCTGTTTTTCTCCAGGCTTTTGGTAAGTGAAGGGAGGGGTGGTGGGTGGGGATGGGGATGGTAAATTCTTCAGGGATTCTTACTCATAGTTACCTCTAAGTCAAACCTCCCCAGAAGGAATCGGCCCAGGGCTAGGGTAGCTCATTCTTTACCCAAACAACCGTTCAGGTAACTTCACATCTGAAGCATAAAGATAAGTCAAAATGTTGGCACTTACTGGGAGGGGGAAGACATAGGCAGAGGATTGCCTATAAATGTATAACAACTGGCCCCCCGGGGAAAAAAAATTGTACATGTTACACACTTTCCAATTTAATCTGCATTATTAACATTTTCTCAATTGCTTTGTTGAGTCTAGACAATCAACAGAACAATTAATCTACCCCTGTTTTGTAGCTTTTGCCAATTTTTGATTTCTAAATGCTTACATTGAAATTTTAACAATCAGCTCTTGCAAAGAAGCTGGTATGAGCTGACTCCAGCACACCCCTGACTATAGGAAAAAGAAGGGAGGGAGCAGGGATGGAAAAAAGAGAGTGCCTGGACGATCGAACTCGACGTACTCATAAGGGTCTGCAGACCCGATCTCCAGGAGCTCAAAGACCATCAGCAGCCCTTACTTGAATAGTAATCCTCTACATAACACACCTGACACTTGGTCACCCAGCATTTGCTTGAGAATCTCCATTGAGGGGCAGACAACCTGTGGAGCAGCCCATTCCCCTTTTGGATAAGTTTTTCCTGATATCCAGCTTAAATCAGTCTCTTTGTAGCTTCTCTTAGTTCTGACTTTTGGAATTAAGTAGCAAAAGT